GTCCTTTACTTGACTACCTGGAATAGTATTGTCAGTCCATTTCAAAATTCACGAGGCAATTTCATTTGCACCTCGGAACCCTTTCGATTCGTCTCACATCATACATTGTACAGAAGAATCACTGCTTCTACAAAAGCTTCCTTTTGTAGAAACTAATACAATTGTAAAAGCAAACATTTTTACAAATCACCAGATAGTACTTTGTGTTGTAGTGACTCTTTAGCCATTAAAAAGTCCAATTGTTGTAAGTTATACCGAGTTTTATATTCAATTAAGTGAGTATCATTATTAGCCTATACACTGGTTAGTTCATCTGCAGTAAGATTATTTTTCAATTGAGCTGTGAATGTACTGCATGTATCTCAACTGTAGGGTTTCCAAGTTTTCAAACGAAAACTTGGAAATCTTTATTAAAAATATCTGCGTCGAATTACTTTTTTACTCTGAGCTTTAGATCTACATGTATTTCATTGCATTCATCAAAGTACAGTTGATACAACTTTTCTATCGTAAGTTCTGCGCCAAGATAATCTCTCTTACTCCTTTCTCTGGAATAATGAATCTCGCACTTTGGGAATGATTTAATATGTTGATGTATTCTATTTATGCTTTCGATAGGAGTTTTATTGATTATCGTGTGTCTACCTCTTTGATCAGCTTTTATTTAACCTCCTGGCTCAATTTTTTTCAACATATTTACTACTACTAAATTAGATATACAAAGTGTGTTTGAAAAAATAACCTTGCAAAAAGGTAGTGTAGTGTATTATTTTTAGATTTGGTAGAATTTAGGTCTTTTTTTGTTAATCGAAGAGTAGGTTGAATGTCGACACATGAAAAGATAAATTGCTTTTTAACATCTGAAACGTTTGTCTTAGTCCAGTATGAGTTGAAAATTTTTTGTCTTCCGTATTCTGGCAATCTTTTAGAGCATTTCATGCGACACATGCAAGGAAGCTTTAACATTTTTGCAGGCATGTTTTTGCCTTTTTTACTGAGATACTCTTTCCCACCAGCTATTTTTGATTTGCGAACATTACAGACCCAATTTTGTTCATTTACTACACGTTTTTTGTCTTTTTGTTTGCACTTAGTTACATTTTGTACCTTTCTTTTAACACTTTTCTCTTCTTCTAAAATAACTTCATTATGTTGATTGGAATTGCCTGCATCACTGCTTAGGAATAAATCGTCCTTAAGAAGATTTTTTTGTTATTGCCACACTAGTCGTAGGAGTAATAATAGCTTTCTCTTTTATCTTTGTTTTCGCTGGTTTACTTATACGTCTCATATCATTGTCGTCTGATTCTGAGTTTAGAGGCTTATAGGTTATATCAATATCCGAATTATCATCTCCAAACAAATTATCATCTTCGTACACTTCCTTACCATTACCTTGGAAGTTACTAATGACCAGGTGGTTCTCAAACAAATCCAGCCTTGTAATAATAATTATAGACTAATTTTATAGGCCTATAATTGGCCAACACAAAAATAATCCTTATAACATCCTTAGCTATTATTACAAAGACCGGAATGTACTGAGCAATTTCCGTTACTTCCTTAAAAAAATATAGATCTGGCAACATCTGTTTACCCTAATCTGTTGGTATCAACAACAACAATAATTTTTGGGGTACCGGTTACGCCTAACGGTAAATAAATTTTACCCAATCTCTTGTAGTATTTTGTTCATACGAGTATATATTGATAATTGCTTGATAAATTCCTGTCTATGCCTACAACACAATGATATAAATGGCAATGCATGTTACATAAATAACTGACAACAATCATACCATATTATGGTCATTTAAAAAAACAGACGAAATTCTTTACTAGTAACAAGAACATACTAACTGAAACTTCTATTTTAACGGTAGATAGAAAAAATGTATGTACAGTTTGAAATTCTGAGCCCTATACAAAATAATATACAATACTAAATATTTGAGGTAAGAAAAATATAAAATTAGTGTTAAAAAACTATAGCTTACCTGTAAGTGTTGTTTTATTTGGAATATTACATGACAGTAATTATAATATTATTTTTCCGCGAGAGTTCGGATCCATTTTACAATTATTAAACAACGAACTTATTGTACAACTTTTATCAACCTAACACAATTGCGATCATAATTCCGCCAGGTACAAGGGCACATAACACTATGTCCGGATGGTAAATGACAATGCACACATTTACTAGAGGTAAACAACACCAAGTCCACATGGTGTTGTTTACCTCTGACTGGAAGTGGACTTGGTGTTTATTAAAAAGTCGGTAACTTGCCGTAAAATTGTCTCTGGATATAGTATGGTTTACCTATGTGTAGAGCCAGAAAAGTTATATTCAAAAGTGCAATAATCTAAATTTCGATAAAAATGGACATAGTGTCCTTTACCTCCGAGGTACGCATATACATATATATATATACATATATATATATATATATATATATATATATATATATATATAATATACATATATATATATATATATATATATATATATATATATATATATATATATATATAGTATACTGGTAAGGTATGTATATGTACTGTGTCCGTAAAGTATGGAACAAATTCTTTTTTAGCTAAATAGAGCATTTTAAGAAATAATCGTAAAACACGTCGATTTTTGATTTTAAATTACTGTATTTTAAAATAATATTCTAATATACAGGGTGAATTACTTTCCAGTAATGACGTCACCGTCATTTTTTTAAAATGGAACACCCACATTTTGTCTCTATTTTCGGATTACTCTAGCTGAGTTGATTCCAAAAATGTATCACATGTTGATTCAAATTGGTACAGGGTGGACAAAAATACAATAGTTTTGTGTGTGCTCATAAAGTAACGCGTTAGAATTTAACAATATTATCAAAAATACTTATTGTCTAGCGGATAGAATATAATGAAATACATGACTTTATCAATGTTCGAACTGCAGCCTCTGCTGTATTTGACAGTAACCCAAACGGTGTACAAATTCTTGTTGAACCTTGTTTATTGTGTCTTGAGAAATATCGCTTATTGCTGTCCGAATTCTCTGTTGTAATTTTTGAGTATTTACTGGTTTCGTTTAATACACAACATTCTTCGGATGGCCACACATAAAATAATAAAAATGAATTGAAATCTGGTGACCTCGCTGCCCATTCAATATGCTCACGTCTACCAATCCACCTGTTCGGAAAAATTTTATCTAGGTACCTTACAACATCTACAGCATAATGTGGAGGTGCATCATCCTGTTGCAACCATAAACTTTTATCAAAACCTCCAGAATTACGTCTGCTAGGAAACACATTACGTAAAGTAGGTAAGAGATATCCCCTTAAAAACCCAGGGTACGTTGCCTTGTTTAAATTACCTTCGATAAAGTAGGGTCCGATGATTCGATTTCTTACACTTACCTTTTGCAAGTATTGTGTATGATACTCACGCATCCAGTGGGGGTTTTCTTTTGCCCAGTATCTACAATTCTGGCGGTTAACCTCGCCATTTAACGTGAAAGTGGCCTCATCAGCAAAAATTTGTACCAAAATTTTGTACCAAGAGAGGGTCTCGGTGGCAGTTAATTATCATTGCCTCGAAAAATTGCATTCTTCTATCGGGATCATCTTCGTTTAATTCCTGCACAAGTTTGTTTTTATAAGGATGCTAATTTTCAAGCTGTAATAGTTTGTTTGATTTGCTAACACCAGTATCGCGACTAACTTTACGCACAAAAGTGTGCGCATCTTCAAAACTAAATAAAACATCTAATGCTGTATCAGCATTTGCAGAGGGACGACCTGATTTCCGTGGATTTTCAACCGTACCAGCTTCTCGAAATTTTTTTTCAATCTTACTGACTGTTGAACGCGTTATAGGTCTTTCTGGATATTTATCATTAAACAAATTGCACACTTCCATCTGAGTTAGCGATCTGTCTCCTTACCCAATCATCATAAGTATTTCAATTCTCTGCTTTACACTTAACTCCATTTCTACTTTAAATTAAATCTAAGCAATAATTAAAACATTCACAAATACCAAAAATATTGTAGTTCTAAACTGTCACTGAACTTTAATAAATTACTAAACAAATAATGACTTTTAATAAAAAGATAGCCTTATATGTTTCTTTTAAATTGATAAAAAATAATTTCTTTATTACTAGACAAGTATTTTTGATATTGTTAATTTAACTAACACTTTACTTTATGAACACACACAAAACTATTGTATTTTTGTCCACCCTGTACCAATTTGAATCAACATGTGATACATTTTTGGAATCAGCTCAGCTAGAGTAATCCAAAAATTGAGACAAAATGGGGGTGTTCCATTTAAAAAAATGACGGTGACGTCATTACTCGAAAGTAATTCACCCTGTATATTAGAATATTATTTTAAAATACGGTAAATTAAAATCAAAAATCAATGTGTTTCAGGATTATTTCTTAAAATGCTCTGTTTATCTAAAAAAGAATTTGTTCCATACTTTACGGACACAGTGTATATATGTATATGTATATGTATATGTATATGTATATGTATATGTATATGTATATGTATATGTATATGTATATGTATATGTATATGTATATGTATATGTATATGTATATGTATATGTATATGTATATGTATATGTATATGTATATGTATATGTATATGTATATGTATATGTATATGTATATGTATATGTATATGTATATGTATATGTATATGTATATGTATATGTATATGTATATGTATATGTATATGTATATGTATATGTATATGTATATGTATATGTATATGATATGTATATGTATATGTATATGTATATGTATATGTATATGTATATGTATAAGTATATGTAATGTATATGTATATGTATACATGTATATGTATATGTATATGTATATGTATAGTATATGTATATGTATATGATATGTAACTGTATATGTATATGTATATGTATATGTATATATATTAAAAAAACTTAAGGTAAAACCCAGTATACATTACCATTCGAAAGATTGTACAATATTAGAGACTTCTCTAAACAGTTCATCCTTAATGGGTGTAGAAAGATTATTATCTTGTCGATCTTCGGGTATTTCGTACTCGGTATCTTCCTGAGTTCGCTGTACTTTACTTACGTACATTGATATCCTGCGATAATCAGAAGGCCGCCTAAAATCTGATGAAACCCGAGTACCCCTGTCCTCATTTCCAGTCTCCTTCGAAGCTTTTAGTGCTGGCTCCTCGAAACAACCTTTTATTAAAGGTGTAAACATCTACATAAAATAACTAAATCAGTTCTATGACAATGACAACACAGTACGTATGTATATTTTACATTAAAGCCGTTTAATTTAAACATAAAAAGGAAGCAAAAATGGAAAGAGGGCAAACTAATGAAATTACTAAAAATGCATAAAAAAATTTTAGCAAAAAAAGCAATGTTCTTCAATTTTAAAAAATTCAAAATAATATAAGTCCCAGTTAAATCCTGCTCAATACGTTTCTAAATTTGACAGAGAACCCCAGTGAGCTCTAAAGAGCGCTAAAAAATGTTGTTCCTTGCTTGGATACAAAATTTTTACATTTTAAAATCAAAATTAAAAATGTCTATAAGAAAGTTCTTCTCCTTCAAACAGGAAAGAATAATCACGATGCAACCCATAAGTTACAATACGTATTGCAAATGGGTTCAGTTCCTGCAGTCATCACAAGGACGAAAAAAAAGTTACAATATGCTCTTCTTCTGCTTCTATTGGCACTTCAACCCTTTGTAGGCCTTGGCCTGCTTAACAACGTACTTTGATTCTCCCCTCTCGGATACTTTCCTTTGCCAATGCCTGACGTTCATTGTTTTAGGATATTTTTTTATCGTCTATTCACCTTTTACGGGACATTCCTTTTGTCCTATTTGCTTGGGGTTTCCATCTCTGGATTACTTTTATAGCTCAATGATCTGACATCTTTTCTAAGTTCTAAGGCCAGTTTAGTATTTGTGATTTTACAAATCTAACCATATAATTATGCGCTCTGCATTAATTCATCTAGCTCATAGTTCATTTTTATTCTCCAACAACCATCGGAGACATACCTCGTTAAAATATGCAGTAATTGTAAACAAACGAACATATCACAATTACTAGCAAAATATAGCGAAGATAGAGAAAAACAAATAAATGTATTGCTAAAATAAATAATCTTGCAAAGAAGAAAAAATATTTTAAGCAAACACATTAATAGAAGCTGGGTCACTTTCGTATGGAAACATGTTGCCGACCCTGAGAAAGGATACATCCGTTTTGAGCAGATTTTAAAAAGGTTGTAAAAGCGTATTGCGCAGTCTCCAAATACGTGCCGTAACAGAATATTCCTATTACGCAGAAATCCGCAGTTAAATAGACCCCACGTAAAGGTTCTACTACAAGATCAAAAGCAAATAAATAAATTTAAAATATATTTACAAAACAGTATATTGGTAGGGATAAAAATAATTCAACTAATAATAGTTCACTGTCCCGCCTAATTAACCGGACACTTAGTTTATTTTAAGTAAAATAAAAAGTATTAGAAAAATATAGATTCCATTTAATTTTTATTGTATGTTCAATAACAATCCATAAAATAAAAAAATAAGTTAATAACAACCATGCTATATTTTTTGCTATATCAAATCCTATAGATAGGTAGTCTCAACCTTAATATTAAAAACTATTACTCTAATCAGACCCTGAGTAATAATTCCTAATTAATTTTAACCCCAACCCATTATACCTACAGACAGTTTGTGGACAGTTTTAAAATAGCTAACAAAAAGGACTCCCTATTACCTATGTGTGGCCGTTGAAGAGGGACATTTTATATACCTCTCTCTGATATTGGTTCCGAAAACAGAACAGACGGTTTGTGCTGTCTTAATGGTTTGTTAGAACAGTGAGCGACGCATAGCATAACTCACAGTCAGTCTATAGCTACGGTTTGTAACAACAGTGCGCAGCGCACAGCAGAATCTGTTGTGCTCGACACACGGCAGTTTCGGGTGTTAGATTATTTCGCATAAATATTCTGTCGCTCTGAAAACAAGTTTAGAAATTGGTTTCAAGTTTATTCTCTTAAAGATTGCACATTTAAAAAAATGAATTCTTGCAAACTTAATGCAATAATTTTATTAATCCAAGAAGAGGAGGAAGAAGAAGAGTTGATAACGTTAAATGTAAATAAAAGAAATAAAAATGTAAACGAAATTTTTTCATGTCTTAATACACACGGTGTTTTTAAATTAACAGTTGAAGAAAGATTGTTTCAAAAAGAGGAAAAATTTCGAGAATATTTTAGACTTTCCAGAGATTTATTTGGAACTGCAATTTGTACTAGATCTACTAGTGTTTCATCTTTACCGGAAGAAAATTTAGTAGACATCACTACTATATAAAAATACAATTATTATACATATACATATTAATAACTATATAAAACTACAATTATAATTTCGGTATATTATGTGTACGTTGTGAGCTCAGCTGAACGTTTGCGTCCAAATCGAATCGCAATTGATTCCAGTGCACACCGTCGAGGTACACGGCTATTTAAACAGACAGAGCAGTGTGCACCGCTTCGGCGGCCGCGGCGGCGTTGAAAGCGGTCTCTCGTCTATGGTACTTAAGTTGTGCAACACAGACGAGCCGTCGTTCGTCAGCTCGCCGCGTCGGCCGCCGCGCGGCCTATGATGAGTATCATGCGCCGTCGGCGGTTTTATGACTTCCGGCGGCACGTCTTTAATAGATATCTCGTGCTTCAACACTGACGTATAACTGTTTTGCAGCGGTTTTATTTGGTTACTTTTGTGAGTGTTTACCAAATTTTGTAGATATTATACCATCGAAAAATTAGTTACCGAAATTCACACACGACCAGCAATTTGGGATATGCGTTTAGATAATTATTCGAATAAAATAAAGAAAAAAATAAACTTGGGAAGAGGTTACCCACAGTTTTATTTCGAAAGATGCTTTTCTGGGCCATCTTTAATTTAGTTAACTAACGTGTAAAACGTTCCTTTATTTTAGCACTCATTTACTATAGAATGTATCCAATACTTGCGTTTCTTCTTTTTCTTTGATTTAATAGGAAGTAAAATTGCACTTTTTAGGAAAAACAAATCGTCGTCACTTTTACTAGATGATTCTAGAGACATCATTATACAATTCTACGTCCAAAACTCGACTAAATTTGACAACACCGAATACAACGGCAAAATCACTGTCGTTGTTAAACCGCCTCATGTGTTTTAAGCCGCGTGGTAGACCACGAGGCGCAAATCTCTCGCTGCTGTTGACTCGCATAGACAACAGACTCATTGTGCTCAGCTCTCTGATCTTAGTTTTCGTGCCAAATAGACGTGATATTTTGATCACTCTTTTGATTAATTAATAAAAACAGTACTGCAAGACACGTGCAAAAACTCGAACTCACGAGAAAACACGAGTATGAACCCTAACTATATGCAGACTACGAGTTCGCGAATGAAGATACTAGCATTATTGGTAGACTTTTAACTCAATTAACTTTTGTTTTTATAACCTCAATTACTCTCTACTAACTATTTGGAACCAACCCTATTTAATACATTTCTCATACTCTGAAATTATATTAATAATTTCACATATGTATATGCCTTAGTTGTACAGATATTAAAATTAATTATTTCTTCACCGAGCTCTAATAACACCTCCGAATATGTCTGACATAGAATGGATCAAATCAGTAATATTGTTTTGCACTATTTGTTCCCATTTGTTTAACAGCGCCTGATATAACGTTATCGCAGTTTTAAACTCTCCATGACTTTGCCTAACTAATGTTCCCAAGTTTTGCCACAAATGTTCTATGTTGGAAGATCTGGATTTCTAGATCCAAATACCAACATCTGTAAAGTACCTATTGCGTTGTTACTAAAATTTTCACTTACAGAATGCATATTGCATAAATGCGAGATACCACATTTTATATTTGAAACATTCCTTAATGTAGCTATCAGCATTAAGCCCATCTCTTTCTAATAGAAGATCTATATGTGCTTCCACAGAAATGCTGCCCTATAGTATTATATCTCCACTACCAAACTGTATTCTAGGAGAAAAGCAATATTGAGCATAGCATTCGCCAGGCTCTTTGGCGACTATCAGGTGAATATCTCATAGAACGAATCTCGTCTACAAGCATAACGTTGTCTTCGGTGAGCTGGGTTCAGGGCCTGTAGTAGGTACATAAGTTGATAAATTTTATTCGCTTAATCATGCTTTTATTCTGCTGTAATTAAATTTCGCATTTCATATTCTTTAAACTTCGCGTTGCGTTCAGCTATATACCGTTTCACTTCACTCCAAACCATTTCGATGGGATTGAGTTCGCAGTGATAGGGTGGGAGCCTTAGAATCTTCACATTGTGCTTTTTGGCAATATTTTCTATTATTTACCTGTCATATTTTGCTTTCAAGGCCTTGACTACATCAAGTAACTCGCATTTTAGGTAGTCTTCTTCAAAAATAGGTGCTTTGGCACAAGCCATTCTTGAATATCTTTTTTTAGTGTTAAATTGTTGGATATTTGTTCTGACTTTCTACGCTGATAGGAGGCATTTTTCATTACTACAACAGTTTTTTCTGCCAAATTTAGCATTCAGTTATTTTCAAACCAATCTTCGAAGGTAGGTCCATCCATTTCGTCGTGGTAGTCCTAAGTATTTTTCTTTGCCAAAAATGTGAGCTCTGCTCCATCAACAAATTCACTGGTAAATCCTGCGTGCAATAAAACGAACCGTGCGCCACGAGCTGTTGGAGCTTTTAATCCTGTTGTCAAACCACGAACAAAAGCATCGCGATGAGATGTAATTGTTTTATCAACCCATTATTGTTTCACACTGTACCCGATATTTACCCATGATTCATCCAAATACACGATGCTGTATGCTTCTGCACGGTATTTACGAATTGCGCGTAAATAACGATGACGCCACGAGATGGTTTCTGGTTTTTCAATCAAAATTGAATTTCTGCCACGTTTTATAAACACAAAATCCATATCACTCAGCAAACGATGTAGCATGGCCCGTGAAAACTTGGGCAAAGTTTCTTCGACATTTACAACAGCTAATATGGTGTTTATTGTTGGTGGTATGTTGTCACGAAAAAATTGATAAACTATTCTACGAATTTGGCCCCTGACACCTTCATCGTTTTTGTTGTCACGAGAACTATCAACTTTTTGCTTCTTGGGTCTT